AGAATTATGCTCCATCAGCTTTGATTACATGCACTTTCAAAGTAGAAACAAGACACTTGAATAGCACTGAACTGCTATGAGCACTTAACTGTATAACCTTCCCACTTTCCTCTTCCCAGAGAATTGCCTTTTAAAATGTAATTGAAAAGATCAAAAGAGTTTTTGCATGCATCACTGTGAAATTAGAAGGGGCAGATATAATTTTTTTTTGTAGTGAATTCCTGCCATATCTGTAGATAAATTTGTAAGTTATGTTTTTTTCTCAATTAGCAAAATACAGTTAAAAATACAATAGTCCCATATGTTTATTTGCCTGCCTTATGGAGATTAGGGCCAGGTCCAGACAAGTGCAGATGTGCGGTACACCTGTCTGCGCTGCCGCACACTGCATATGCAAACATGCCCCATGCTGCTATCTTGCAGTGTGTGTGTGTGTGTGTGGCCGGAGGGGGTGGTGGGGAGGGGTGTTGACCCCAGGAGATCCTGGAGTCAAAAAAACCCATGGCAAAAAAAAAAAGGTAGTGCAAGTGGTGGCAGTGCATGGCACCCCAAACTGGAGCCTGGCTGGCTGCAGCCACACTCTGGCTGCAGGCCAGGCTCCCAGCTGCAGGAGCACTATGGCTGCAGTTCCCCAAGCCCCCTAGGACCTCAGGCAAGGCTGCTGGGGCCAGCACGGTTGCTGGCCCCAGCCTCCGCTACCCCACCCAGGGTAATGTGCCTTGAGTCAGAGGGTGCCGCTGCTCCTTTTCCTCAGAGAAACAAATGTCCATGCTTGTGTGGGCACAGCCTAGAAGGGCTTGTTAGGTTATGTGTTTTATTGAACTAGCTACATCGTTGGAAGACATCTTAGACAAACTTCTGGGGACAACATACTCTTCCTCAGCTTTGGGAGGGTACAACCTAACTCAAATACCAGGAAAAACAATTATTTTTGCTTAACTCTGTTACATAAATAGTCACTTTTTGAGGCATATGTTATCTGCCTTGAGCCCAGTGGTGGATTATAATTTATTGGGGCCCTGGGCAAACGGACAATTGGAGGCTCCCCACCAGGTGAAGTCAGGTTCCTTCTGTGCCTGGCAGGGAGCTGCGGCTAGGTCCTCCCATGCAGTACCAACTGTGGGGCCTCCTGGCAACACAGCCCTGGGAAGCAATCGCCACCTGCACGGAGTCCCACTCTTGCACCCTAGCCTCTGGCCCTGGCCCACCTGGAGGGGGAGGCACATGCTGCCTGCTTCAGTTGCCTGTGCCCAGGATGCCTGCCTGGGCAATGCTGCCCCTGGCACCCTAGGGGCCCCTGCTTGGCAGGCCCCTGGGCCCAGGCCCTGCTGACCCATGTGTTAATCCACCCCTGTTTGGGCCAAATTTACCCAAGTCCCCTGATGCCAAGAAAGCTCTTGGTGCTGGTACTCTCTCAGTCTTCTGTAATGTGACCATTTACTTTATCAAAATGGGGAGTGAGTCAACTGACTCTTCCAGTTATTTGATGAAACTGCGGTATCACTTAGGCATTTGGTTAAAGGCCTTAAAATATTCTTGAGCTCCTAACCTACTTTTCCTAAATATTTTTATAAAAATGGGATTACTTTAGACTTGGGTATCTGAGCATGAGTAATTAGTGGACTGTGACTAATCCGGTGGATGGCATTTAGTTCTTCTCACACATTATGTATATCCGTGGGAATTCTGGGAGTGATGTTTAGCCCCATGCTTCCAGAGACTCAAGCCAGTCTCTGTAGTTAAGGAGCAGAATGCAACCTAGTGTGGGAGCAGACGAACCTATATTTGCCTATTGTGTGGTTCTTATGCCATCCTCTGAAGCAACTGTTTTTGGCAATTGTCAAAGACAGGATGCTGGACAAGATGGACTTCTGGGGGCATGGTAGGAGCCTCCAAAGGGTTGGGGCAGTAGGAGAGTTAGGTGCCTTTGAAAGGTGATTCAGAGAACCTGGAGGCACCTAGATTTAGCATACAGGAAATGCTGAGCACTGGGGCATGTCCCAGAAACCACCCCTTTGGAGCTTAGGTGTTTGGTTCAAGGCTGCATTTCTGAGGTGCCTTTGGCCATTAAGGGAGCAAAGCATCCTGGTGGTGCTCATGTCCACTTTTGGCATAATAGGCCACTAGTTAAATTGGGACAGTTGGTTTATAGGCTGTCATCTTCCTAAGGGGGATTCAAACCTGTATCTTCCACTTCTGGGAGCCATACCCTATTCATCAAGTTTTAGAATAATTTGGATGGAGGCCAACTGTGAAATATCTTCACCCCCAGTAGTTGTATATCACAGTGGAAAAAAAATATATGCTCTGAGCTTTTTTTGCTTTCTTTTGTGATTGTGCTTGAGAAGCTAGCATTTGACTCTCTCCTATATATTGCTCATGGATGCAATTGTTTTATACTAAATACAAGAAACTTGTCCTCTCTAAAGAGAGAAAAGATGGGTTTGCCAGCTTTTGATTCAGTTCTCAAACCTTGAAGGATTTATGCAGGTTTTTTGGTCTTGTGTAAAGTAGCAAGGTAATATGTTGAACGTTAATATTATATAGGGCTCCCCTAAGGGCCTAGCTAGACATCTGTGGCTGTAGTGCCTCTTTATTTTCTGTGTACTTCATCTTTACATTCCTAAGCATGTCACATGTATGAAGAGTTCAGCCACCATGTTCTCTCAACTCTGTCAGAAGTGACCAAAAAAGTGTCTACATTTTTGTTAAAAATTTCAAAGAAAACCATATTGTGGAGGGGGTCCAGAGGAGGGCCACTTGCATGATCAGGGGGCAGCAGGGCAGGCCATATGAGGAGAGGCTATGGGACCTGAACCTGCTCAGCCTCCAAAAGAGAAGGCTGAGGGGGATCTAGTGGCCTGTTACAAACTAGTCAGAGGGGACCAGCAGGCACTGGGCAAGTCCCTGTTCCCCTGAGCACTACCAGGAGTGACCAGGAATAACGCTCACAAGCTGGCAGAGGGTAGATTTAGGCTAGACATCAGAAGGCACTACTTCATGGTCAGGGCGGCTAGGATCTGGAACCTACTTCCAAGAGAAGTGGTGCTGGCTCCTGCCCTGGGGGTCTTTAAGAGGAGGCTAGATGTATACCTTCCTGCCATGGCAGGGGGTCGGACTAGATGATCTAGCAGATGCATGACAGACAGAACCAAGGAGGTGATACTTTCCCTCTATTGGGCACTGGTCAGACTGCAGTTGGAGTACTGCGGCCAGTTTTGGGCGCCACACTTCAAGAGGGATGTGGATAACCTGGAGAGGGTCCAGAGAAGGGCCACTTGGATGGTTAAGGGCTTGCAGGCCAAGCCCTACGAGGAGAGACTAGGGCACCTGGACCTCTGCAGCCTCCGCAAGAGAAGGTTGAGAGGCAACCTTGTGGCTGCCTATAAATTCATCATGGGGGTGCAGAAGGGAATTGGTGAGGCTCTACTCACCAAGGTGCTCCTGGGGGTTGCAAGAAATAATGGCCATAAGCTAGCAGAGAGCAGATTTAGACTGGACATTAGGAAGAACTTCTTCACAGTTAGAGTGGCCAAAATCTGAAATGGGCTCCCAAGGGTGGTGGTGCTCTCCCCTACCCTGGGGGTCTTCAAGAGGAGGTTAGATAGGCATCTGGCTGGGGTCATCTGAACCCAACACACTTTCCTGCCTATGCAGGGGGTCGGACTTGATGATCTATTGAGGTCCCTTCTGACCTGAACATCTATGAATCTATGGTGGCTACCAGTGGTCTCTGGAAAATAATTTGGAAACCAGTAGGAACCATACATACAAATGTATGTTTTGGCTAATCTGTGGGTGGGAGTGGTCATTAGGAATCACTGACCAAGTGACTGACATGCCTAACAAATAACTCTTGTCATTTAAATCAACACAGAATTTAGCAGAAAGACTCCATGTAAAGTCAGCAACATGTTAGGGGGGAGGGCAATTAATTTGCATAAGGAATTCTTGCTAAAATAAAGGTAATAGCAAAGCTTTCACTAGACATCAAATGAAAATTTTCCTAATACAGTAGATCCACTTATAATATGCGCAGCCAGAATTAGTTCTCGTAGGAATAGACTGGTAAAGAATTTCATTACAAATATTTATATACTCCCCTTGCCCCTTGCTGGTTTTATTTTAATGGATGTGCAAAGCTGTATGAGAGCTATGGGGAAGAAAAAGCCCGGTGGGGAACCCATTGTATCTGGATGAATTGGAAAAACAAACTCTAGGGTGCTCATTTGCTATGAATCACTTTTCACATCACGTGCGTAAAATGAATGAGGTGTCTGTGAATCTAATTCCCTTTGTCCCAGTTGTAAAACAGATCAGAACAATAGGAGAGGCACAAGGCCAGCAAAGCAATGGAGTTGAAAAGGAAGCACCATTTAGTGAATTCATTTTCAGTTATTTCAGTGCTGTTTGCTCTTTTTCTTTTTGGCTGATTTCAAGAACAAACAGAACTACAGTCCACAGGAAATGCCTCTGGTAGCTGCATCTGCTGCAGGCTCGCTATAAGCTTGGTGGCAGCTTCTGACAACATGATTCCTTGCTAGTATCACATGGGGTCCCTTGTCACTAACTAGGGGGAACAGAAAACATGCACCTCCACTGCCAAATCTTACCTTAGGAAAACAATAGATCAGAACAATGCCTCTGAATCACAGGACAGGTATAGCACATAAAGATTGAGATCCTTTTTTTCCTGGCTTCAAGATAAAATCTTAGTTGCACGGTCCTTTTATGCCTCTATTTTTGGCAACTATGTATTAATCCAAGTTAGGTGAATTTACATGCTTTTTTCCTTTCCTGGTCACAGCAGGATTGTGGACTTTTTATGAAAACCCTCCTCCTTCCCTCGAAGGTGTATGAACATTCCAACTAGAAAAACCGGGCTTGCTCAGAAATTTAACCCCTTTGTTCATCATCTCAAATAGAAACTTTCCCTGCTATGGGAAATAGCTTTACTGATACTGTATAAAGAAGAAGAAATGGAATTTTAAAAATCTCACCACAACTTCTGTAATCTATTTCCAAATCGTCCTCCTTGCAGATTGTGTGCGTGGGCCATTCTGTGCTGAGATTGGGATACAGCAGGACTAGCAGGAGAAAGACTGCATTAACCATCTTCAGGGTGGCAGTGGAGCAGGGAATTTTTTCTTTCTTGCTTGCTCTTTCAGTTATTAGCGAGCCCTGGAATGCAGGTTTTCACTTCTTTTTTCCAGTGTGTCTGACCACTCTAAGAAGTTCCAACAGTAATGCCTGCACAAGGACAAAATGATCCAATACCTGCTCACAGTTTAAAGTGATGTAGTATCAACAAGTAGCTAATCAGAATTCTGAGCGAGCTGTTTCCCTTGCGTTCAGACTTCTGCTTTCTGTTTCATGTTAGTTTAAACCAATGACGGATGACCTAATAAGACCCAATCACTGAAAATGCTGCACTCCACAGCCTTGATTCTTTCTAGATGGGAAAGTATTTAATTTTTTCTTCTCCCTACCAGTTTCCACTCTCATGTTGCAGTCAAAACACCTGGGCCTGGAGATTAGACAAGAGTGTCTTGGCCCTTTAGGTCACAACATACTGTAAGTCAAATTCTCCTGCTCTTATTCACATCAAGTAACACATTATTTTAAGAGTAGCCACTTTAATTCCTATATTATAGCAATGTGTTTCTTTGCTAAAGAAAACAGAATTTTATTTGGTAAAGTTGATTCCCTGGGTGTCTGAGTCTTAGGAAACTTCTGAAGGAAACTTTAGAAATTAATCATAATTTTTACCAGAGCCAAAAATAATTTCAGGTATTCAATGAGAACTGATCTTCCAAGTCCTCATTTAATTATTCTTGGCATCACACTTATTAACAATCTTCCTCTGCCTTTCTTGTAAGCCAGGACTCTGGCTATTTCTGCATATGTACTGGCTGTATACTTGCACACTACTGACAACTTAAAAACTGTGTTGTTCTTTCAGATATGTAAATTGGCAATTGTTACAGACACTGAAGAACACAGGGAGGAAGAAAAGGTTTCTTTAACACCAGCAAACTTCCCCTTTTGGGTTTCAGAACCAGGATTTTGAATTGGCTTTCAAAATACAGTTGCCACAGTAGTGGTGAGGTGATGTTGTTGCTGTGATGGTGCAGAAGAGATATGAGAGGCCAGAATTCTGGTGGGTGATATCTTTTCCTGGATCAACCTAATGGTTGGTATAGACATAGGTAAGCTTTCAGGTATCACTGTACCTTTCCTCATGACTCTTCAATAGAAGCAGATGCAGCTAAGCTAAATAGCAGATGAAACAAAAGCTTAAGTAGGGTCATTACCACCTGTGAAGTGCCTGGGTTAGGGAGTATCATTTTAATGGACCATGAAGTCTATGTTAAGTCCCTATGTTAAGTAAATTGCCACAGTAGGAATTTCTTGGACTAGAATATAATTGAAGAAAAAACAACAGGATAAACTCAGCCATGAAACAAGTAGTTGCAACTCCATTTGGTGGAACCAGGGGGGAAGCTGGCCTTAAATTGCTTGTTAGGAAAGGATAAAATGTTAGGCTGGTGGATCACCTCTTTCTCACTTTGGGTACTGCAAGGTGATCATTGTGTTAGATTAATGAAATGTGCCTTAAAACAGCGGCACACTGCTTTCAACAGTGTCTTCCACTCTGTCATGGAGTAGAACTGCAGCAGGAACAAAAATAAGCACACTTAGAAAACAAAAAAGCTCGCAATGACTGTATTAAGAAGCTAATACTTAACAATGGGAGCTCTTCTTGATTGGAATCCTATAGCAATAGGAGTTTTTCATTGAGTTCAGTGACCTCAATATTCTTTGTAGCAGCAGCAGAATGTTGTCGTAGCTGGTTTCTAGAGCTTGCAAACTCCAGTGCCATACCTCCTGCTTTGCCTTAATACTGTATTTACTCAAATCCAAGATGAGTTTTTTTCCCTCAGTCAATGCAGGAAAAACAAGCCTCATTTTTGGATTCAAATATTAGCGCTCTGGCTTTGCCCTGGGGTAGGAGCTGAAGCTGCTGCCACTGCTGCTTGGAGCCAGGGAGTCAGCAGCAATGCGGTGGGTAAGTGTAGGTCAGGGGCCAGGGCTAGGTTAAGGAAATAGCAGAAGTGAGGAATCAGGCCTGTTCGATGCACATAAAGTTGTGGGAATGAGCCCACAAAGAAACTGCAACCCCTTCCCCTATTACTGGAGAGTGTCACTATAGTTTCATAGTTTCTAGGGTCAGAAGGGACCCGAGTAAATCATCTAGTCCGACCCCCTGCCATCTCAGGAAAGGTTACTGGGGTCAAACAA